TCTCTCTCTCTCCCCCCCCCTCCACTCTCTGAAAAGCAATGGAAAAAATATCCTTGGGTAAGGATTAAAAAGGTTAAAAAATTTATTTTGACCATATAGTTAATTCATTCTTTTTCTCCTATTATATCTGGGAAAGGAGCTAACTTAAATGTTCCTGTAGGTATCATAGTTCTCTTGTGTGTGTACGTTTTCTTTTCTCTGACTTGAGGTCAAATGTGCATTTCTAGAACAGTTTCTCAAATTCTTAATGAGTTAACACTTTTTATTGACAGAATAATACTAAAAATCCATGATTACATTGTTAGCAAGGACTGTGTTATGGTTTAAACACATTACTGACTAATCCCAAATTTATTGTAATAGAACTAATTATTTGTTCCCTGTGTACTTTGCTCTACTCACTGTAAGATGACACCTTTTTGCCTGAAGGCTTCCTATAATTTTATTTGCAGAGTTAAATTCTACATTTTATATACTTTGTTTTTGCATACTTCTCAGATGTGCTGATGGTTTCTTTGTGTAGTTCTTCCATGCTATGCAAATGTTTTAATAAAAGTAGTGTGCTGTAGAATTTTAAAACATGTGATACCTGACTAGTCAGGAGCACTGACTTCTTTTCCCTTAGGTTGTCAAATAAAAAAAAATGACAACAGCCAACACAGCAATAACCGTGCAGTGTGAATGAATCAAAATTATACCTATTTTTTTGTCAGAGCAGCACAAAATATATTTTTTGGTGTGCCGCAGAATTTTAATAGTTTTTGTGCCATGAGATAAAAAAGGTTGAAAATTGCTATTAGAGGGTTATATTACTCAACCAAAAGGTTCAGTTGGGAGCCTCACTCTTAACATTTGGGATGTATATTTTTTAGGATATTTTGTGTGGGCTGGGAACCTAATGTAATTAAGCAAATACTAAATTTTTATAATAATCTGAACTTGCATCTGTGAAGATAGTATGTCAATTAAGTGCCTGATACTGATTTTAGTATTAATTATAGCATCAACCTTCAAAATTAGTAAGATACTCATTTTAAAAAAAATCATTTTATCCTGATCTGATTGATTGGTTTTTTTGTTAATCCTCACGGCAACCCTTCAGTCTGCAGGCCGATGCTCTAACCGCTAAGCCAAACCAGCTAGGATGATCCTGACCTGATTTTTGCTATAAACCTTGGTAAAAGCAGTTTATAATTCCATAAACAATGTATTTACCACTTTATTTTGGGTGGACCTCATGAGAGCCGTTTGTGTCTTATATAACAATTAGAAAATTTCACTTAAATACTGTAGTTTGTTGCAGAGTATAGGCTTTTCTGCCTTTTTTTGTGACTCAAAGGAACATTCTCACAAAATGATTCTTTATGTAAAAGAATATTCTACATGTACATTTGCTGATTTTAATATTTTGGTTTTCCTTAGTATCAGTATCTAAAAGAAAATGTTTATTTTTAAAAAATGCTTTATACCTTGTTCTAAAAGTAAGAGGTTGAATCAGGTAGCTATAGGATTCTGTCCTTGTGTTTTCCTCCACTTCAGAGATAGGATAGACTTCACTGCCCAAAAAAAGTCTGTGTGTTTTTAAAGCCAGGTATTTATTTATGTAGAGAGATTATGCTTGCCCTGATTTGGGCGATATTTAAACCACATTAAATATTTGGTGCTTTTGGTTTTTAAAATATCATTTTACAAAACAAATGCAGGTCTTGGTTTCTGATTGCGAGATCCATATTAGTGACTGTATTCATTTTCAATGTCTGCTGTAGTAATTACTACAGATTTAGTGGTTTAAAACAATATAATTTTATTCTTTTACAGTTCTTGAGGTCAGAAGCTCAAAATCAGTTTTACTGGGCTAAAATTAGGTTCCTGGTTCTTTCTAGACTAGAGCCTCCAGCGAAGAATCTGTTCTTGCCTCTTTTTGCTGGCAGCTACTGCTGGCACTCTTTTGCTTGTGGCTGCATCATTCCAGTCTGTACTTGTATAATCACATTGCCTTCTCCTTCAGTGATAGCTCTCTGCTTAATCTGGGTTTTAAAAGCTTTTCATCAGGTCCCAGGTTGGTGTGGCTCAGTTGGTTGGGCATTTTCCCCTTCACCGAAAGGTTGCTGGTTTGATTCCTGATCAGGACACATGCCCGGGTTTCAGGCTCAATCCCCAGATTGATGTTTCTCTCTCTCCCTGGCTCTCTCTCTTAAAAAAAATTAATAAAAATATTTAAAATAAATAAAAGCTTTTCATCGGTTTCGGAAACCACTGGGAAATTTAGGAGATGAGATCAAAGGTACA